TAAGGAAGGAATCCTTCCCTTATTCATTTTTTTGAGTACAATGTCCTTTTTAAACCTCTTCCCTTTGATCCGCCTGGGAGACTGGAGGGAAAATATTATCTATAACTTTTCTCATTATTTTTACTGAGTTAACAAATTCCATTGTTGAATAATTTTATCAAGAAACTTGAACATAGATAACTCCCTCCCACTCTTTTATCCCAGCTTATAAAGGGGATAATCCTTTTGAAAGCAAAGCATTTAGTAGTTACTTCTGTTTCCATGAAGCTACGTTCACTGTTGTGATAAATATATGTAATTCAGGTGGTGGATAACATAAGTCACCTAAATCTTGTATTAAGGCTCATTGATGAGACTTCAGTAAAAACTTAGTGGGGTCTTAGCTATGTCCATTATACTTTAGTGCATGCAGCAGTCTTTTTAAATTTATTGCTTGCAATGTTTGGTCTTGCAGTTGCATAATTCACATGATGGCAAAGAAACCTGAATCTGTATTCCTTGAAGAATGGCTATGCAGAATCAGTGGCACCCAGGAGAACGTGACGCTGAAACATCCTTCTTCGGCATCAGCCCAAGCTATCATCCGAGCATGGGCTGATCTTAGGGACTCCCTTCAAAATCAAGCATTCCACTCAAATCACCTCCAATCCCTAAGGACCCTCGTTGATGTTCAGTTCTCGCTCTATATTGCTGATCCACAAGCAAAGATTCTGTTGTCTATTTTGTCCTCACAAAAAGTCTCCCTTCCACAGGAATCTTATCCTTTATTTGTCAGGCTTCTATACATTTGGGTTCGGAAATCATTTAGACATTCTCCTGGGGTCATTGATTCAGCAGTTGAGGTCCTCTTGCACCTTTTCTCTGGACATATTCATTCAAACAAAAGCTTATCTTTCTTCTCTGAAGGTGTTCTTCTCCTTGGTGCTCTTTCTTTTGTATCTTCAGCATCCGAAAAATCTAAAACGGTTTGCTTGAAATTGCTCTGCCAGCTCCTTGAAGAAGACTATAGATTGATCCATTTGTCTGAAAGGACAATCCCGAATGTTCTTGCAGGAATTGGCTATGCTCTCTCTTCTTCTGTGAACATTTATTTTGGTAGAGTTCTCAGTTGTTTAATGGAATTGTGGGATAAAAGCGACGTCCCTTCTGCTAGTTTGTCTTATGGGCTCATGATACTGCATCTGATGGAGTGGAGTTTCTCAAATTTTATCAATTCTCACTCCACAGACAAGATTGATCTTTTCAGTAGAGAGGTATTGAAAAATACACGACCAGCATTCTCTTTGTTTGCTGTAGTCATGGCTGCTGCTGGAGTACTGAGAGTCATCAATAGATCTGAACAGAAAGCACTAATTGACCTTAAGATTTCTGCAGAGGAACGAATCGAGACTATTGCATGTGGTTTAGTTTCTAGTGCTGGAGATGCTGATTATGCTACAATGGAGCCAAGAAACTCCTTTCTGTTACAGTGTATGTCATTAGCTTTATCTAAAAGTGGACCATTTTCTTACCAACCTCATGTGTTTCTATGCCTCACTACAGCTTTGTTGACTGAAATATTCCCCTTGCCACACATTTATGTCAAAATCCAAGAATCGCCTTCTGGCAACTTGGTGGGATTAGTTCTCAATGAGGTGCAGCAACACCTAGACAGCATTATTTTTAAGGAAGCAGGGGCCATAACTAGTGTCTTTTGCAATCAGTATGTCATGGCTGATGAAGAAAACCGAAGTGCAGTAGAGGATATCATATGGAATTACTGTCGGGATGTCTATATGTGGCATCGGAGGGTTGCTTTGATGCTTGGAGGTAGGGAGGAAGCGCTGTTAGGGAATCTGGAAAAAATTGCTGAATCTGCTTTCCTCATGGTTGTGGTCTTTGCCTTGGCAGTAACAAAGCACAAGTTAAGTTTAAGTGCTCCCCAAGAAATTCAAATGAGACTTTCAGTGAGGATATTGGTTGCATTTTCTTGTATGGAATATTTCCGCAGAATGCGTTTGCCAGAGTATATGGATACAATTAGAGCAGTTGTTACAAGGGTTCAGGAGAATGAACATGCCTGTGTCTCATTCGTGGAATCTATTCCATCTTATGATGATTTGACAAACCAAGCTGGTTGTGACTTTTTCCTGCATGTTTTAATTGCCAATATGTTTGCTATATTACAGAATTCACAAACACATCACCTTTTTCCTTGCAGTACCTTCTAGCTTTCAGAAAATGGAATATATGTGGACTACTGATGAAGTGCAGACTGCTCGGGTCTTATTTTATATGCGAATAATCCCAACTTGCGTAGAATGTATACCAGCCTCTGTATTCCGCAAGGTGCTGGCTCCAACCATGTTCCTGTATCCTGCATCAGATGGTTAGATCTAGAAACAAGTAGGAAAGTCAAACCTGATTGAATATATAAAAATTTCCTTAATGCACTTAACCAGATACATGGGGCATCCAACTGGGAAATTGGCTAAAGCCTCACACTCGGTGTTTGTCGCTTTCATGTCCTCTGGTAAGGATGCTGATCCAGATGAAAGAGATACATTAAAGGAGCAACTTGTATTCTATTATGTCAAGAGATCTTTAGAGGTAATAAAAACTACCAAAGTTAATTGCTGTGATGCTTGAACTTGTTTTCTGATTTAACTGAAAGTTTACAGGGATACCCTGGGATTACTCCTTTTGAGGGAATGGCTTCTGGAGTTGTTGCACTGGTTAGACATCTGCCTGCTGGAAGCCCATCTATATTCTATTGCATCCACTGTCTCATTGAGAAGGCTAATAGCCTTTGTAGTTCAGTCGATACTACTCCAGAAACTGACTTGTGGAAGAGTTGGGATGGAGAGCTGGAGCCTTTCAAGATGTTGGATTTACTTTTTCGTCTCCTTTCTCTTGTTGATATACAGGTAAAGTGGTAACAATGTTTGTCTTCAACTGGTCAACCTAATGATGTGCAGTTACAAGTTCAATCATAAGAGAACATGTGCATTCCATGGATTTTGAAAATATTCAATATGAGTGATACTTCACTTTAATTGTTTAACTTCTTGTTTCTTCCTTCACTCGAAAATTTGGGTAATTGGTATAATTTGTAGGAGCTCTTTCTTGTTACATAAAAGCTTTGGAAAATGGATAGATGTTTCAACTATGAAAATGCTGATTTGTCTTAGGTGTCCTAGCCAGATTTATGCCTACTGTGCCAATATAATGCACTTGACGTGGCTGATAAAAACAGTTACTTTTTTTTTGGCTCTCAGGTTCTGCCTAGTTTGATGAAGTCACTGGCACAGTTGGTCGTTAAATTACCATCAAGTGGCCAAGATATTATTCTCAATGAGTTATATCAACATGTTGCAGAATCAGATGATGTTACACGGAAACCGACAATGGTTTCGTGGTTGCAGTCACTGTCTTATCTTAGTTATCAAAATACTAGCAAGAACGCACCAAAAGTGGCAGCAAAAGAACTACATGATTCTATGTCCGGAACTACAGACTCATTAAGCATGAATAAAATCAGTGCACGTCTATAGAAAATTGAGGTATACAATGTATCTAACTTTCATTGCTTGCGCTTTCATACTCCTTTAAAATGTGTCTTTCCTTGCCTTATGGTTCTGGTGAAAATGCTTTGGGGCAAGAAAAAGGCGCATCTGTTGAGAAAGTACTTTTTTTCTTATAGGCTAAATAAAATCTGTTGAGGAAATTGCTAGTCTTGCAACGTGGTAGATTTTCCCATTATTCTAATAAACTTATTTGCCTTACCAGAGACTGTGCATAAAGGAGTATTAGGTTTTATTACATTGTTGTTTATAAATAAAATTATATTACAAAGGGAGCAATTGAGGAAGAATTCAGAAAGACTTCTCTTCTATTTAGCAAGAAGTGATGTGACAAGTACTTGTAATTATAAATGTCATAAAGGAGTGAGGATCATGAATTGGCTTTCTGGTGTTATATCCCACATATGTCCGTGTCTATGATTTTTGGATCCATTCAATTTTGAAGTTTCTTTGCAGAATTATCAGGATCTGTTGCTAGTAATCCAGGGCAAAATTCAACATCCAACGCCAAGGGGGTGAGTTCTCACTTCCAAGTGCTGCCTCCAAAATTGGTTTGTGGATAGCCATAAACCTGTATGGTGTAATATATTTTGGCTTAGTGGCTGCATCCTTTGAGATTTACCATTTGTTCATGAAGACTTGGGTCTGCTTTGAGATGGTATCGACACAAACTTCATCAGATTCAGTTCAATGAGGCAAGAGGATGTATGATGCAGGGTGAAGTTGCATTTTCTTTTTTCATGCCAAACTTCTGGCTGAGGATATTGTGCTTGCCATATCTTGCTCTCACTCACTTTATCAGGCTTCCGTTATCTCAGCTTGTTCCTGCTTTACTTGGTATTTCTGCCGGATTGTGAAGCAATTCTGCCATTGCTCATCCTATACCAGATCATGATGCCTCTTCCTCCAACGAATAAATACTAGAAAAGATTGAAAATGTTGTAACATAGACATCATACGACTTCTTGACAATACGGTTATATGATTGATTATACTGAATTACAAATATTCTGTTAGCATAAATGGTCAAGAAACATTTTTAAAGTTTTCTTCCCTCAGTTCACTCTTCTAGTAGGACTGGATACTTTCAGAGATGTATATTTAGCTGGCTTACCCTTGGTGTTTGTGTTGCACTTGAATAAATGCTCCAATACTGAATTCAGTGGTTTTGACTCATTTTTTTCTCATTAAATTAATGTTTTCATTCACAAAAGAGCATCAAGTAGATGCATAGTTACAAGGAAATTAAAAAAGCATTAACAAAAGAACAAATGAATCCCTTTTCAGTGTATTTTGGGGCGAACTTGACAACTAATATGAGACGGAGTGAGTAAGTGATATTTTTATGTAGAAAATGCGAAAGACCATTGTTTTCCGTGTCTTCGATTTTATTATTATTAATAAAACATTCCATAAGGGAGTAGTTGCCAATAGTGCTGGAAAATGAGACTAACAGCGTCACGTTGTGGACTTCCATTCTTGAAACCTCTATATGAATTCCCCTTTTCCTCTTCTTCTTCGACCCTTTGGCCTAGAAATTGTTCTGGAAGCTTCTCTGTAAAAATGTCGACAACCCCACCTTCTCGAATCACTCACATCATCAATCTTCCCACCCAACTCGATCAACCGGTTTCTGTTGTCGCTGCTCCCGGCGTCTCCGATACCCACTTCAGGCAAATCCCTCCACTCCTTATTTTCTTTTTTACATTTGTTGTTCTATTTTTAGCTATAAATTTATGTAATTCTCACTTAATAGGGAATTTGTTGTGTGGGTTTTATAAGTTTTTCATGATTTTTGGAATAAAAAGATACCTTTTTATGATATCTTTAGATTATAAGAGCTGTTTGGTTGTCCCTCAACTTGTTATATATATTTTTTCTTTTTGGGTTTTTGCTTTTAGCTATCAACTTACGTAATTTACACTTGATAGGACATTTTTTGTGAGGTTTTTTAAAGTTTTTCATGATTGTGGAAAAAAGGAAGTTTCTTTTGAATACTAAGAAGTTTTCTTGGCATGATTTAGATTAAGTGAGCTGTTTGGATGTCCCTGAACTTGTTATATCTTTCTTTTTTTCTCTTTTTTCTTTTTGGGGTTCAATTCTTAGCTTTCGACTACGTAATTCCCACTTATTGGTATGTCACTGAGGGTGAGATTCTAGAAGTTAAGATTTTGAGAAAAAAAGCGAGTTTTTTTATGTTAAAAAAGATTAAGCATTTTTCTTGGGATGGCTTTGGATTAAGTGAGCTGTTTGGATGGTCCCTCTACTCATTAAATCTTTTTTTTTGCTTTTGGGGGTTCTTTTTTTAGCATTCTACTCACCTAATTCAAGCTTAATATGGTATTTGCAATGAGACTCGTAGAAGCATTTTTATATTAAAGATGAATCATTTTCTTGGTATGGCTCTATATCGAGTTTGAGTGAGCTGTTTGGAAGTACCTCCAAGTTGCTATATTATTTTAATTTCTTAGCATTCAACTTATTCATGCACAATATGGCATTTGTAGTGAAGATTTTGTAAGTTCTTCAGGAATTTAGGCAAAAGGAAGCATTTACATTTTAAAGGTCAAGCATTTCTCTTGGTATGCCTTTGGATTGAAATGACTGTTTGAAAGTCCCTCCAGTTTCTATTACATTTCCTATCCCCACCCCCCTATTTCTTTTGGGGTTATGCAATTTCTCTTAGTATGGCATTTGTTGTCAGGTTTGTGGATGATTTTCAGAAAAGCAAGCATTTTCATGTTAAAGGATGAGAGTTTCTTAGTATGGGGTTGGATTGAGTGAAATGTCTGTTTTCTTGTAGGAATGCTATTGAATCCTCATTGTTCAAACAGTGGTTAAAGAACATACAAACTGAAACAGGACTGCTGGCTAATGGAGCTATGTCTTTAAAACAAGTTCTTATCCAGGTTTCGATCTCAAGCTGTTCTTTTAAACTATGAAGATAGTAGCTTTTACTTGTTCACTAGTTTCGATGAATTACATTGTTGGCTAATGAGACCGTCAGAACACAAATTGAGTTGCTTGAGCCCTTCTAAATTTTTTCCACATTGGACAATTAGAGGAAAATGGTCTGTCTTCTGATCTTAACTGATGCTGAGGCTCTTAATTATATCTTTATTGAGGAAAATGGATATCTAGGTTAATTGTGCACTTTATGCTCCTTAAAGATTCCTATGCTTCCCTAACATAGTTGTCAGTCGTGCTCCCTTCTAAAGAGGATAAAAAAGAAGTCTTCTTCATGTTCGTGTCAGGATTCTTGGAATGATGTTAAGTCGCACTATCAGCGACCAAGAGTCCAAGACATAGTGACTATCACATGATTTGAATCTGCTTTTGGTCCTGCTACCGCAAACATTAAGTTTGCTTTACAGCTGATATATCTTTTTATGTGTTGGAGCAGGGTGTAGATATGTTTGGAGAGCGTTTGGGGTTTCTAAAATTCAACGCAGATATTATTGATAAGGAGACGGGTCAAAAGGTATCTGATTAGAATCTCTCCATCCCATTGGATATGTAATTCATTCAGCCGGACTATGAATAGCTTCTCTTAAAGCTGTGTCCTCAATTTATTTTGCTTATATTTGGTTTTTTGTCCTTGTACCTTAGAGCAATGGACATTACAGTACTCTTGACATAGCTTGACAATACTAGCATGACAATGATGTATTACTTCCATTTTCCTTTTTCCTACCTTATCCTTGGTTACAACAAGGGCAATTTCTTTCCAGTCACTATCGCCTCTTTTGTGTCTAGGTTCCTGGTATTGTCTTCGCACGGGGTCCAGCTGTTGCAGTTCTAATCCTTTTGGATTCTGAGGGTGAGACATATGCTGTGCTTACAGAACAGGTAGGTCTTCCAACTGTCAACTCCTCCTTTTTTATAACGTCTAAAAATATCTCACAGTACAGATTATATGTGGAAATTTATGAAAGTTTTCTGTCCCTTTTACTTTTTAAACTCTAAAATACATTCAAATTGTTTGAAAGGTTAGGGTCCCAGTTGGGAGGCTAATTTTGGAATTGCCAGCAGGAATGTTGGATGATGACCAAGGTGACTTTGCTGGAACAGCAGTTCGAGAGGTCTCTCTCTCCTTTCTATCAAAGCATTATCCCCTTCTCAAAATTTTCTAGAGTGAGGCAAGCTGTCCCCTTGTTTTTTGTGGTTCAATTCCCTAGTATATATTGGTTTATTAGTGCATAATGAACTGGATTCCTCTCATTGTGTCCTTTTTCAACAAATCAATGGAATTTCCTTCGTTTCTGAGCAGTTCAATTGAATCCAGAAATCTGCTAATGTTTTGTATATGAGTGACTCAACTGATCCTTATAGGAACTTCCTTGTCAAAAGCAGCTATTTTAGCTTGTGGATGGCAAAATCAGAGGGGTTTGACCGAACATATAATTGAAGTATTTGATCTATGTGTTTCAGGTTGAGGAAGAAACTGGAATACACCTGAATGCTCATGATATGGTCGACCTCACGGCTTTTCTCGACGCATCAACTGGGGGAAGAGTTTTCCCTTCTCCTGTAAGCTTCCACCGTCTTTTATAAGACTCAGACTACTCACCACATGATTTCTTGGATATTGTATTATAGGAACAGAAAAAGTAGAAATATTTGCATAAACAGCTAGTTTCTGCTAAAACTCTTATGGAAATGTATATGTTATAATAGTTTCATCTAGCCTAGTGTTAAAAGAAAGTTTGCGGTTATATTTCAGTCAATAATTTCGATTCATTGCACTGCTTGCTCTACTGTTTGGAACCTGTAAATTGTAATGACATTGGATATTGCTCCATGTGCACTTGCAATTAGTGGTATATTTGCAGCCTTACATTGGGTGTATTTTCAATTCAAAGATGAGGCCTTCTGTTATTGTTTCTGCCTTTATATATCTCTTAACACTATATTTCTGTGGTTTTGTTGTTCTTTCAATGTTAGGGTGGTTGTGATGAGGAGATGAGTTTGTTTCTATACAGAGGAAATGTCAGCAAAGAGAAAATACAACAACTGCAAGGCAAAGAAACTGGACTACGAGACCATGGTGAGCTGATTAAAGTGCATGTGGTTCCATATGATAAACTATGGCGTGCCACAGCTGATGCAAAGGCTCTGACCGCCATTGCCCTCTACGAGATGGCTAAAAGAGATGGACTGTTGCCTTGATCGATGAGTTAATAATTTCTCCTCCATCAAGTATCAACTTACAATATTGTATGCTTCACTAGAAGATGACGATTCTCTATTTTAGGCAAGTCTGCTTCTACAGCATGAGCATTCCCAGGTGAACACTCCTGGCAATTGCATCTGTTGTTGCTTGGTATTGAATTTTTGTATATTAGACACACAATTTTATCGTTTTGAAAAAGAAATAAAAAGGGGAAAGAGAAGATTGTTCCTTGCACACTGTCAGTATTCAACACGACTACCACAAACTGGAATTTGAGCTTGATGCTTCGTTTGAAGTTTAATTCACTAGCTTTTCTCATTGAAATGAAGAGGAGCGGATCGTTAAATAGGAACCAAAGAAGTGAGAGCAACAAATGATTACATTTATTTTGATACAATAGCTTGCTCCATCCAACTTAAAAGCTTCATGATTGTGAAAATGATACAGACGTAGTATACAATGATCAAATGATTCTAAAGATAACAAACTGTTCAGAGTTTGTTGGTTGCTTCCCAAATAGTTGTACCATCACAAGCACAAATTTTCTTGTAGTTCTCACCAACTCCTGCACTTCTAGCTATCACTGCTGCTGTAAGTCCTGGATCTGTTTTATCTTCAGTTGCATATACAGCTATAGCTCTCCCAATCAGGTCGGCAACTCTTAGCTTCTCCTTAGGACCAGTATAAAATGCCTCGCCTTTCTCATCAACTTCCAGTGTAACCAGGTCACCGAGTGGCTGAAAAATGGAAAAACACACAAGTGCAGTCAATAGTCAGTCTGTCTGGTGCAACATACATAAGACATAAGGAAACCAACCATTCATTAGAACCTTATCCATATATTAGGCTCCTTTTGACAGTCCAACAAAAGGAAAAATATAACATAATAAGCTTGATAGATGCTTATTTCACCCTTCAGAGGACAAAGAGAAAGGAAAAGCTTCACACAGTCCATGACAAACGATATCAAGTATCCAGACAGTTACGATTCCATAACTAACAGCATGGTATTAGATGCATTTCATTGACAAAGGAGGCACTTCTATCATAGTCCAAACACTTCAAGCATCCTCGAGTGAGATTAGTTGGAACATGATTGCATAATTAATATTATGGATCCTGATTCTCTCTCTTTCTCAATGCAAGTATATTGCAGAATCCATGCCCCCAAGAAAAAAAGGTTCATAGGAAGAAGATAGCGCAACATATTTAACATAAATAAAATGTTCTTTTGCGTGTTACTTACTGGGCTGTACAATTTTCCAGTACTAGCTGCCCCCCTCGTCAAATCACCAAATTCATTAATAGACCAAGCATGCTTTCCAGGTGACAGGCCACTGAAGTTTGCTTCAATCCTAGTTAATTCCATATTGACTTGAGCCAAGCGAACAACACCAAAAATATCTGGTCCTTTGAATTCGGCAACAGCAGCAGATATAAGGAAATCTACAGAGCATGATTCAACATATATATATAAGTTAGATGCATCACATCAGCAATAAAGCAGATAAAGCTGAAGCTCATTAGAGAAGTGCATAAAGGAAATCTATCACTTCAGCTCTTGAGAAGGCCATTATGTACTATAATCATAAGCATACTTAGTTCTGCTCATCCCGTTAACATAGATGTGAAGACATAGTGCTTCACAGATTTTCTATAATATTAATGGAGGAAACATGACATATGCAATTAGATAAGATTAGAACATACCATCCGGTACTCCTTGTCCAATCAGACGGGCTTTTCGACCTGTTTGCTCCAAGGCTTCAGTCATAGTCTTCACAGGTGAAGATCCAAGAATTCTCACTACTTGATTATCAAGGTCCACATCCACATTCTTAACTCCTAAAAGCCACACAAAAGATCTCTTTCAACACCAAAACAAATTGATGAAGTTAAAATAAATCCCCAGTACAAGGCATGGTTTCTGTTTTTCGTTTTTTTTTAGCATTTACCTTCTACGGTTTGCAATTTGCTCTTAACAGCATTAACACAGCCTTGACACGACATGTCCACCATAAACTCTGTCTGTCACCAATTTGTCAATACAATCAGTTTAACATGGAAAAAAACAACAATATGCAACATAATATATCAACTCACAAAGAAACCAATAAAAACAAACGCAAACCCCCCAAACTAAACCTTCAATAACCAACAAAATGGGCTACATTAAGCCATCAAGATTATTCCCTATTAAGCCATCAAGATTAAAAGATACCCCCCTCCCTTTAAAAGTAATCATCTTTGATAAACTAATAACATTACAACCAGCACAATCAATTTACCTAAGCAATTAATCAAGGAGAAAAAGACCCTCTCGAGTTATCGGCAATATAATTCAAAAGAAGAACTACAGATTTTTATTGACAAGTGAATATTGTTTGTAGAGGCATTATATAAGGCTCTTGTCCTCTCTTCTCACAGAAGATGTTAGTTGATCTACCTTAAAGCAGAGGCGAAAATGATTGATATTGTACTACTCTAATTGTACATTTCCTTATATCAAATGTTGTACTACTCGTAGTACTATCCAAAGTACAAAGTTACTAAATTTACATAACTAGACTCTTTACAAGTACAAGAATCCCTATTTATTGTACAGCTTCAAATATGCAAAAAAACAAAAAACCACCAAAAAATTCCTCATTTCTCCTCCAAACAAAAATAACATAGATTTTTTTTTGTAAGAAAGAACTTACCAGCAACTCAGGCAAAACGACTCCATTCTGCAAACGAAAAATCACATTACTCAATTAGAACAATAGCATCCATTTATTGCCAAATTTACAAACAAAAAAAAGTTAAAAACATATTAGTTTGTCATTCTGGATTAAAAAAAGAGATGGATCTAAAATTTAGTGGTGGAAAATTGCAATACAAGTAAGACCTCCCTAAACCCTAAATCCTCGCCAATAAGGTGAAAATTCAGGTTGCCAACCAATTGAGCCCTGTAAGATTCTCCAAATAATTCAAAAAATTAAGAAAAAAATAGAAGAGCTGAGGGATAAATTATTACATCGGAGGAAGTTTGGTGATTGGAAGAAGGCGTTTCCATATGAAGAGCTGAAGGAGGACTCGTTTTTTGTAGATTCTTCGCGAAGCTTAATTGGAGAATCGGATTCGAACTAGAAATTGAGCCAAATTTTAGATTTTTCGATGGACGTTCAAACTGCGAAGAAGAAGAAGAAATAGAAGAAACAGCAAAAGCAGCAGCTGGAATAGCAGCAGCAATGGCGGTTGTTTTTGCAGTCACAATGGACCTCAAAAATGCCATTTTTTCACTCTTTTTATATTCAGAGTTTTGGTCATTAGAAAAATGTTCTCACACAGAGAAGAGAAGTCGATGCCTGAGGCAATCTAGTCATTCTAGAATCATCTATTTCATGTATTCACTTAATTGGGCTGTTATTAAGTTTTATTGGGCCATATATAACTACTTGGGTTGGTCCAAGAAGGGTTTCATTGACAAGCTATCTAATTGCTAATATTCAAGGAAAAAATTACTTATATACACAACTTTACTTACCTTATTCTCAATTTTTCCCCACTTTTTTTAAATATTTCATAAATCCCTTTTACCACTCCTTTACACTCATCTCCCGGATACATAATTCCAATCAGGCCAAATTACTTATATACACAACTTTACTTACCTTATTCTCAATTTTTCCCCACTTTTTTTAAATATTTCATAAATCCCTTTTACCACTCCTTTACACTCATCTCCCGGATACATAATTCCAATCTCCTAACCCACGTCTATCTCCCCACCGGATACATAACTACACATCTCCTAACCCACTTCTATCTCCCCAATTTTTCACTCCTCAAATAATGTCATATTTTCTCTCCCATGATCTTATCAGTTTAATTTTGAATTTGAATTTGAAGATATTTCTCTCTCCAGTCAAACGATTTCTCACTCCTTTTGGGTATTTTTTCAATTTCATTACTTTTGCTAATAGTTGTTAGGTTTTTTTGTTGATTCAAAATCCTGATACATTATGGATGATGCTCCCTCTTTCAGTATAGGTATTACCCAGATAATGTCATCTAACAATAATCGTGTGTTTGACCATGAAGACGCAGGTTGGGCTGAGAATAGATCGAAGAAATTGCATGATCCCCTTATAATGGCGAAAGTGAGTATCGAGAAAGTCAGGAAGGATGTGCCTTCTTCTTCAAAATCAAAGGTTGAAAAACCCCCTAAAAAAAGGGGTAGAAAAGTATCATCTCCAATTTCCCGTCCTAATCTACCCAAGGTAATGAGTTCTGATATATTTTCCTCTTTTTTTGTTGTTCAATCTTAGATTTAATTGTTAATTTCACTTCATGATACATTACTGATAGCTTTATGCAATTTAAGTTTTTCTACAATAATTTTCAGTAAGTTTCAATGTATTTATCATTATTGAACTTAAATATATATCAGTACTAACATATCATATACATGCATACAAAAATATATAGTTTAGTTGTTCTCAAACTTTTTGTTTAACTGATACAAAATTTTGTCAGTGGTTCTTCTCAATGTATCAACTTGTAAAAATAGTTGTAACAGGCACAAATGTTGATTTTGTGTATCAAATACAAATATAACAGTTTTGTATCAACAAAAAAACCTAACAACTACTAGCAAAAGTAATGAAATAGTTGTAAAAATAGTTGTAACAGGCACAAATGTTGATTTTGTGTATCAGATACAAATATAACAGTTTTGTATCAAATACAAATATAACAATCTTTGTAAGTTGAGTTGTCTATTATTCAACATGTATCATGTTTATAATGTTTTAAGGCTTTAATTGTTGTTCATTTGTTTCATTATAGTCTGTGAAATACAAGATAAAACAAATTCCTGCACATTCCTTGAGGTTTGGTTCAACATACAACATGGGTTTTGCAGAAGAGTTGAAGTTGTCTATAGGGATTGATGGTGTTGAGAAATTTAAGAATACAATTTTCGGTCCATATCTCAACATTCCTAATTGCAATTACCAAGGGCAAATAACAAAGTGTCTATTACTACTTGAGCTGGAGCAGGATAATATAGATGAGCTCCATATTCGCCATGCTAGCGGGAATATTTTGCATTTCACTATCAAAGAATTTGCCATCATTACCGGCCTGAAATGCACAGGAAATGTTAATGAATTTAAATATCCTGATTCCACTCACAGTAGATTGATTTAAAGATATTTTCCTGATTCACAAAACGTTGTAAACAAGGGTCGTTTAGTTCAAAGATTTCGGATGGGTCAATGGGAGAATAGTCAAGATGCTCTTGAAATGGCAATCCTATATTTCATTCACACTTTTGTCTTTTCCAGCTTGGTGATACAAATATACCTATCCACCATTTCTATATGGTTGAAGATGGAAGGTATGAACAGTTTCCATGGGGACAGATTGCATTCTCAAAATTGATAAAATCACTAAGACAAGAGTTCACCAAAGAAAAGAAGATGTATCGATTAGCCGGCATGCCATATGTCCTGAATGTTTGGATATATGAATGTGCCTCGGCAGTCGGTGATGAAATTGCAGTCAAAGTGGGCAGTTTTATACCTAGAATATGCAACTGGCGTGTTGTGGGAGTCAAGCCAAAATTTGGCATGTTTATGTCTAGCATCTTCTCCCAGGTATAATATATGTTTTGACAGTGTATAATGAAAAATTTTCATGTCATATTAATGTATCATTTTTTGTTATTATTGTTACATAATCTTGTTTATTATGTTGGTTTGGATACGTAATCCAGAATTCTTGCAATGATATACATCCAACATCCGAGGAAATGGCATCACTTGATTTGCCTGGTAATGTTGATGCTTCTCATAATGAACATCAAAATTCAGCTGCCAAGTCCAAGCTTGTTCAACCACAAGAACTTTTCGGATTTGAGGATTTTTCTACTAATCCTACGGATCATTTTTTAAGGAGATCAAGACGCGCTTCAACTACATCATCTACACCCCCTCCAAAGAGGAGAAAGAATGCTCATCCCGTTAAGCCAGATGTTATTGATGTTAATCAACCTGAACAATCGGCTGTGCAATCAAACAAAAATAGTCCAATTCCAATTTCAGGTGTTAATGTACCCGATGTTCATGTTCCTTCACTAGATCCTAAAGAACCTACTGACAGATCAGGGATTAAACAAGTTAAGAAATACCTGAAGAAATATGTAAGTGATTGTTTTATTTTGTTTTGACAGTTATTACATATTGACAGTTATTACATATTCACTTATATTGTATATATATTTTTAGATTGACAAGAAATTTCAGCATTTAGAGGCTTTAATCAAATTAAATCACAAGCAATTGATGAATGTTGTTCGGAATCCACACAAGCAAGAAGAAGAGGTAGTGTATTATTTTAGAAATAATACACTGTTAAAACGAATTTATTTGTTTCATATTTAACCCTTTTTCTTCGTGTAGATTATTTCTGGCACATCTACAAGTCTTAACATGCCAGAGTTCAATCAAGAAGATCACGTTGTTCGTCCACCTACCACTAACCAGTTGTTTGATAAACGGAGTTCACCTATTGCGATGGACGTGCCCGACAATGATCGATTTGAGGTAGATGTTGTTGAGGATCAAGAACAAAATCTTATCCCTGAACCAAAGATTGTAGAAGTAAGTTTTTAACAATCCTGATTATATATGCAGTCAAATATTATTCATTGAAAATATTAACGATACATTAACTAATTACTCATACTTTTTCAACTTGAAAACATAGGATGTTACTACATGTAAGGAAAAAGAAGGTAGGAAGGATGTATCAGATATTCCACACATAACAGAAGTCCATGATGAAGCAAATGTACATCAGCAAGATAATGTAAGTTCAATTTTGTATATGTATGATACATTAGTTTGTCAATGTATCATTTTAACATACATCATCTTTTTTAGGAAGATGTACCAGTTAGAGGCTCCAAAACATTTCATCAAGTAATGTTGGATGAACACGATGCTGATAAAGTGAAGGATAATGCCATAAAATATGATAAATCGGTAAATCTTACAATTAGTTACCACTAAATGAATAATACCATTTTACAATTTTGTATTCATTTATCTAATCTATTTTATAATTGTATCAATTAATATAGGGTTTGATAAATTCGGATTCAGTATCAGCTGGTACTCAAGAAGCAGTAGATACACTTTATGGCATTCATGCTTCTATGGATGCTCAACCACTGCAAGTTGTCACTCCTCAACAACTTACTGACACATCCCAGCTTGGTGATGCAAATATACCTATCCATGATTTGAGATCGCGCAACCTTGTACCCATGGATACAAACATAAATGAAATAGTGGTGCATGAAGTGTCAAAGACGCCTATTCAAAGATTGAGACTGCCATCAAAGATCTTTCAATCACCATACGTAACTATATTTGGGTCTAGCGACAAAGGCAAAGAGAAAGTTGATTCAAAGTTACACATTCGTCCAAATCACCCATTTCAAGATTGTGGTATTATTTTCCAACCTCCATCTACTTTACTTGATCAGTACCATCAGTGGTTATCAAAGGGCCTTCTTAAAACACATGACAAGAAGTAAGTTATATATCAATATATCCAAATATTGTTAGATCATTATTTGTTTGAATCTGCATTGAGTTTTAATAATTATATAGGAAACCAAAGGAGGACAAATACAAATGCAATTCAGCTTCTTTTGGATTTGAGCAAATGGACTTCGTTGTTGCATTTCCAATTAATAAAAATTGGTTCTATGCCATGTCGCAGCCAAAGAAATGTTGGACTGATGAGGTATAATAGTAAATTCAACAAAAAAATCTATCAAGATGTATCTGATACATCGTTAAAAATGTATCTGACATCTGTATGTATCTGATACATCTGTATGTATCGGATACATCTTTAAAGATGTATCTGATATAAAATTATGTTCACACCTAGACATAGCATATATGATACATCACAACATACATTTTCTTTATTTTCACTAAATAATTTATTTTGCAGCACATCGATGTAGTCTTTTACTACCTTAGGAAGAAATCATAATTGCGAAGCCTGGATCAATACAGATACACTACAGTTAACTGTTTATTCAAAACATACATCAATAACACACATGAGAGGTATCATTGCAGTCTTGCCGATGACAACCTTAGTACATAGGAACACATGGCGCGTGGGTTTGTTGTATCTGGATTCGAGCGGTCAATGATGAACATTATTAATGGTTTTGAGATTTCTGCTGGTTTACCGTGGCACTCATGTGATGATGTTTACATTCCGGTGAATTGTGATGGACAATTTCATTGGGTATTGACTGTTGTTGTTTTGAAAAAGAGGCTAATACGTGTCTACGACTCAGCATCTGGATCAAGGAGAAAATTTTTTTCGGGAGACATTAAAAAATTATCTCTAATGTTGCCTACTTACCTCCAGGACAGTGGATTTTTTGATCATTCTGAGCGAACTGATTGGTCATCTCTTGATGCTTATAAGGACAAGGAAACTGGAAGTCTATTGGAACCAAAACACCCTTTTCTTGTTGAATATGTACAAGACATTATTCAACAAGGAAGCGACACACTGTAAGTTTTAAAACATTTTGTTTTAAAGTTTATGTTCAATTTATTTTTGTATAATGTATGTTTTGCATTTTTGTAGGGATTGTGGTTTGTTTGTGGCCGCCTTTGCTGAATTCCTTAGTGATGAAATTCCAATCCAATCCAATAATTTCTGTTCTGATTATCTTCGGTCAAGATACGCAACATTGCTATGGAATTACGGCAGTGAAAAGGCTGAAGCTGGATACGTTAGTGATAATGACGATCCATCAAAGCCTAGGGGTCATTTCACACCACCAAACCATGATGCGTTGGTTAACTTGGAGTAGTTTTTGTGCATCAATGGATACACAATGTTTTGTTTGTTTTCAAGACTATTAACTTTTTAATGTCTGCACAATGTTTTGCTTGTTTACAAGACATATTAACTTTTTTAATGTCTGCACAATGTTTTGTTTGTTTTCAAGATATATTAACTTAAGTGATGAAAGGGTTCCTCTTAAAATTTGTTTTGTCTGACTTTTTAATATCAATATATTTTGTTCATTTAATCTCGAAATGTATATTTGTCTAAATTTACAAATTCTAATAATCAAACATTATTATTAAATCATCATCAATATAAAAAATACACATAAATTTGAGCAAACTTTTTTTTCCTAACAACATCAATTCAATTTACTGTATAAAAAACATTTAAAAGAACAACACACTAAACAAGATATTACGTTTATAATCTAAAACTTATTGAATTGAAAATTATAAATCTTAAATTAGCTAAGATTTACAATTTCTAACACAATATTTTTGATAATGTATATACAACAATAGTTATAATCAATATGATACATGAATTAATAATATATATGATACATGCTTTCTTATTTATTGTGACAAATACATTGTTGAGCATTTATGTATCATACGATTCTCTGATACAATAGTTTATTCCAGCTAGATTGGTTATTTATGATCTAATGAATATGATACATTATATATTATGTAAATGATACAATACACATAGTATATTTTACACATAATTTATATGATACAAATGCACATAAATATTTGTATATCGGAGATAACATTTACACACAAATCATAACAATTTATTGAATTGAACAACAAAAGTAATAAACAAACGTACCAAAATAACATCCAACACACAAATCATAACAAATTCTTAAATGGATCCGCAAAACTCATAAATATTGAATCAAAATAACCAAAAATAAACAGTAACATTTATTCATGATAAATAAAAAAGTGATAGTCTATTAAGTCAAAAATTATTCAACAAAAACATAAATGTCTTATAAAAATAACGATTTCACTTTTCTTTTGGGAAGAAAGTACAAGTTCTTTTGTTGTGACCTTCTTGACCACAGCGTCCACAACAGTTTATTTTTACTATTATCTTTTCATCTGCATTTTTTTTTCTTCTTTTCCTTGGTCGTCCAGCCAATCTTTTATATCTAGGTGGCCACACAGTTTCATCTACAACATTGCTAGGAACCGACCAATCTTCCTTATCTGGCATTGGAACCATTGGAACCTCATATGTTTTTGCTAATGTATCAGGCTTGTAGTAATCAGAGCAATAAGGATGCATATCTGTGACATTCTTGTCCTTTAAAACAGCAATTGCATGTGCGCAAGGTATCTCATCTAGTTGAAATCTGCCACAAGTACATTCTTTCCTCTCAAGACAAACAATGTATCTTCTTCCAGCTTCATAAACCGAGAAAATAAATTCAGATGATGGAACAACCTGCAGACATTAAAAAGTAATTGATAAATTTATTTCAAGTAATGCTGATCAAAATAGCCGAATGATATACCAAATTAGATACAAAATATAAAATTATGTATCCTGATACATACCTTCATCTTCGAACATTTAGATGCGTTTAGAATCAATATCTCCTCAAATTTTCTCCCCAATGTATCTTTTGTATAAGAGGCTATTTCTCTATTTTTGCAATGCCAAGAACCAAATAGAATTCTAACCTCTTCTAAGAATTCTAATATAGACAACTGACGCGCCTCAACAAGACAACCATTGATACATTCCGCTATGTTCGAAGTCATCATTCTACCTCTATTTACTGTTGAATGAACTCTCGACCACTTCTCATACCCAGCATCCTCAAGGTACTCCTTAACCCTGTGGTCAACTTTATCCACCTTAGCCCTTTTGAAGTTTCCACAGACATTCTTCCAAAGATGCCATATGCATGCATAGTGAGGTACAGTTGGGAACACAATTCTTACACTCTTCATAATACTCTCATTTCTATCAGAAACAACACACATTTTTTCACGCTCGCCAAATGCATTTTTGAATTGTTCGAAGAACCATGTCCACGAACAGTCATTTTCAGTATCTACAACCCCATATGCCAATGGCAATATGCAACCTAATTAAAGATCAACATGAATGATTTCATTTGATACATAACATTTACAATATAGATACATATTAAACAAGATCACAATTACAAAAAGTACATACCTTCCCCATCAAGTGTGCTTGCTGATAAAAATGTACCTTTGTAAGCTCCACCAAGATGTGCACCATCGACAACAACTATCGGTCTGCAGTAATCGAGCCCCTTCATCAATGGTCTTAAGGCTATGAACAGATACATGAATTCATCTTCCACTGACTTGTGCATCCTTATATAAGAATTTGGATACACATTATTTAACATGCATATGTATCTTGGCAACTTCTTATATCCATCTGATGGTTTACCCCTTAGCATTTCTAGTGCACGTTCTTTAGCACACCATGCTTGCTGGTAAGATATTTGAACCCCATAGAATTCTCTAATATCATCAATTATATCTTTTGGAGTATGAATTCTTTTATGATTGACCAATTTAGGAACAGTCACACCACTAACAAATCCAACTGTTGCTTGAACTTTGGTTAGTATCCTATCCCGCACTGGACATGTATGTTCACTATTAAAGTATCTTATTTTGAAAACATCATAATTTTTCCTGCATGAAGCCTTCATAGTCCAACCACATTCAATCGAAAAGCACACCAACACATAGCTGTACAATGTTGCACATCATATTAATACATATAGCAGTTACATTTTATATGACATTAATGTATCAACAATATTAACTACCATAATGTATAATATCACCATACATTTAAATTTCTAATTTGTTTCATACATTACGCATAAATCAAAGTTACAAAATGTATCGGATACATTATAGATGCAACTTAATTGTGTGCGCTTCTTGGATGTATCATTTAATCAACAAAAAAATTACAACAAAACAAAAGCACAATCACACAGCTTCTAAGAATAATATTGTATCAAACACATTAGAAATTTAAATGTATCATCCGATGTAGATCTTAAAATTAAAAACATTAATTCAAAANNTGTCTTCACATCTATACTGTTTGAATCAATTATGTAATTTGTAACTTCTAATTCTGGAATATAATATGAATCACAAATTCTTGATTCAACCACTGCAAGAGCTTCTGTATCCCTTGTTGTACCTTCGATACATGTAATCTCTCCGCATGTTCCATCAAAGCTATGTATCTCACCGCCAATTTTATCCGTTGTATCAATACATAATGGATACATTGCAAAACCAGGCTCACTTTTTTTCACTTCTAAATATAGTCTAACACCCATGTCGTTCTTAATTTTCATCGGACATGAATTACCTTCTACGATATATCGAATTTCAATATTTTTTCTTACCTCATTGATCTCTAACTCGGCTATAATGGCTGCCTTGAGATTCATAAATGAAATTGATTGTCCAACAACAATTCCATCACTTTTGTATCCTTCATAATTAACTTCGCTAGCCCAAATTCCTGAATGCCTCAACAAAATAGATATATTCATCATGTATCGAGTTTTTTTTTGAAACTATGAATTTTTCAACCGGGTGTTAAAAAATCGTCTTCAATGAAGAAGATGAAATTTTGAAATTTGAAATCCTGAAACTGTCCCCTATTAGGATATGGAATGATGATGATCAGTTAGGCGTTAATCTAGGAAAATAATATAACAATAATAAATTTTACGTTATTTGTTCCTTTTTTTAGTGCAACAACATTTTGTTACAATGTATCTTTTATAATATATCTGTATGGTACCTATGTATCCGATTTTCTCAATTTTCAAGGGATTTTTGTAAGATTGGAATTATTAGGGAGAGAATGTAATTTAGATCTTAGACTATGGGATTTCTTTAATTTTTACAATATTCAATACGGTATTAACTAGTAAAAATTAGGCAAATGACATAGTATAAGAAAGAAATTACTTCCTTTCCTTACTCTTTCATTAATTACCAAAAATCCTTTTTTTAGTGTTTTTCGGATACATAATATAGCAGTGTGGATACTTAATATAGCAGTGCGGATACTTTAATTAATAACGGGCGGATACTTAAATTATTAAGTTGTTAGTAGCACGAATACTTAATTAACGGGCGGATACTTAAATTATTAAGTTGTTAGTAACACAGATACTTAATTAACGGGCGGATGCATAATATAGCAGCGCGAATACTTTAATTAATAACGGGCGGATACTTAAACTAATAAAGTATCCGGTTAAGTTGAATTGGGGGAAAATAAGGGATTTTTGTATTTTAGTAAAAGAGTAGGGAAATATTGAGAATAGGTAAAGAAGTGTTGTGTATTTAAGTAATTTTTCCTATTAACTAATTCTACCAATAGTTTGAAATAATTATATTTTATATCTCTCTAACTAATAATTTCATATCATATTTCAAGTCAGATACACCTATATACATGTTTTTTGCTATCAGATACATTGAAATATGGAGAAAGGCGAGCGAGATTTGTCTATGTATTTCAGATATATGTGAATCACACTAGATACATGTATTTGTATGCATCATAAATGTGTGATTTGATGTGTATGATATACCAAATACATAGGAGAGTCGCGAGCGAAATGAGAGGGAGACTAGTGAGATTTGTCTATATATCCTAGATACATGCGAATCTACTTGGATACCATGTGTGATGTGTCTAGAGCAAATTACACCTTATTTTGACCCAAAATATCTTGAATTTGGATGCACGAAAATTTGGTAAGATTCCGTAATATTGTAAACTGACGTGTATCTTAGTAATTAGCTCTAAAACTAGTGGAATTTTTGTAAGTTACCCTTTTATTACTGTGTTTGGTAGAAAATAAGTGACTTTCTTACATATTTTCTAGTATTTGACAACTAAGTAAAAAAAATAGTAACCCAAAAGCATTTATATGTAAGCTACCAAAATATTATGAGGGTTGAGAGTGGGGGTTCAAGGGTGGTCGAGACTCTAAAGATGGGGTTGGAGACGTTGGGTGGGTGGAGAGAGGACAATGAAGTTGGAAGTTACTTGTTTTTTCTACTTTCATATGTTCTTATTTTTAAAGAGATTGTTTTGTTAGAGAAAATATTTTGACCAACCAAACATGAAAAAAATCGAAAACAGAAAATGTTCCCTTGCCCACCAAAAGAGTAAAAGAAATGATAAAGGAAAAACTGATTACTATCAATAAGGATATGCTTTTATTTTCTTCAATTAGCTGGAACAAGCATTGAAGCAATATTTAATATTAAAGACCAAATACTTACAACTATAGTACTATAGGTTGAAAAAGAAGAAGTAAAACTAACATAAAGCATATAGTGAAAAGAAACAGCATCTTCACTATAATAAAATGTTTTAAGTACACTTTATGCACTTATATAGCCAAATTTTCATTAGACCAACACAAGTGCAATTGGACTTCTCACAGAGTGCCTATTAGAAGTCCACTTCATGAATCCCTCAACAACCTCAGGGTTTGAACTATTAGTTGTCTTGGAAAATGTCACTTGGTATGTCAACTTCTGGTTCAACTCGGAGAAATTTAGCTCGGAGGGTTCAACTTCCACGACAACGCCTTTTGGTGAAGCTACCTCCACTTTGTAAGATGATGTAGCATCACCAACATTGGTCACAGTTCTGGTATATGTCTGAGGAGTTGATCCAAGTCCGGATATGGAAAATGAAGGATAGTTTAATTGTGCTTCAGGGATACTTTTCACCTCCGAACAATTCACCTTGCGTTGTAACAGGTTACTTACCTGTCGATTTGTGTACTTCAAACCACATAAATAAGGTACATAGTCCTCGAATGGTGTATCATAAATTAGTCCTGGATCATTTGCCCTAGATGGATTAACATGTCCTGCACCGATTGCATAGATGTCAGCAGGAAGGAGCCTTTCGTTTAGTATTGGACTGTTGGCAAGGTTTAACGTGTCAGCAGTTGTCATGATTGCAGACTTAATAGCAGCAGGAGACCAATCAGGATGTGTGCTCTTCAGCAGAGATGCTACGCCACTAAGGTGAGGGCAAGACATCGAGGTGCCTGATATAATATTGAATGTAGATTTGGTATTTTTGTTGTCATCCACGGAGGTAGGCCAAGCAGCAAGAATATTAACACCAGGACCGATTATATCAGGTTTCAAGATGCCAGGACTAGCTCTACTTGGTCCTCTTGAGGAAAATGCAGCAACTATAGGAGCATTTTCGTCTCCAATTATTGTTCCTTGGAATGTGATTGTAGCAACTGGATTTGATGTTGAGTTCATATAAGCAAGGATTTTTGTTCCATCTGCATCTGAAATATCCAATGCTGGAAGAACATGAGCATCAGCTGATTTAGTGACACCGTAATATGACCGGTTAATGATAATCATGCCAACACCTCCAGCATCCTTTACAGCTTGTCCTTTATCAACCCCCGGAACTCCACCACCGGCCAAACATATGACTATATTTCCTCTTATAGCAGGGTCAGTAAGTGACCCTGGTCTGCAATAAGGGGTTTCAAATTCGTCACTTGCATTTCTTCCAGCATCAAATAGAGTGAAGAATGTTGAGTTGGAAATCTTTGGCTGATAAGCAGATTCTCCTTCAAATTCCTCTCCATTTCCAATCTTAACAGTAGCTTTTAGCTTTCTATCATGAGTGCTAGCGCCTACTGTAAGAATCCACGGGGCTGCATTTCCTACTGAGCCAGAGAAAGGACCATTATTGCCGGCAGAGCAACTTACAAGAATACCTCTTTCTGTTGCACTATATGCCCCAAGAGCAATAGGATTACTATGGAAATCACTCGAACGACCTCCACCAAGAGATATAGAAAGGATATCTACGCCATCATCTATAGCTGCATCCATAGCAGCTAAGACATCAGTATCAGCACAACCATCAGAATTGCATACCTTATATACGGCTATGTGGGCAAAAGGGGCAACACCAGCAGCAGTGCCATTAGCACTCCCAAATACATTGGCACCATTCACAAACGCTCCTGCTGCTGTGCTTGCTGTGTGTGTACCATGTCCATCATCGTCTATCGGGGAACCATTGCCAAGTTGGTAAGACCTCGCTCCAATGAGCTTGTTGTTACACTTGTTTGTGAAATTGGACTCACAAACTCCTTTCCACTTAGCAGGCGGAGGTGGCATCCCAATGTCGCTAAATGAAGGATGGTCAGGAAGAATTCCAGTGTCTATAACTCCGATGATCACGCCTTTCCCATAGTTGGAATCCATCCATACACCAATGTTCTGCTGCAAACCAAGAAAACTTGGAGTATGAGTAGTATCCAAGGACAAAATCCTCTGTTTCTGAGCAGAGACAAAAGCCGTGTTTCTTCTCCATTTCCTTCACTTGTGCTGCAGTTAATCTTGCTGACAAAACCTTTCATCACATTGTGATAGGAATAGATCATGCTAGCAGCCTCTTCATTTCCACTTGAGCTAATCGCGGTAGTAGTTTTAGGCAAAAAAGAAAGGTAATAGCTCTCTAAATCGGTTAACGATGATTGAGTAGAAATTAGGTTTTCAGGGGATTCAACATGGACTATATAAGTCTCGAAATCACTCTGAATAGTAGGCCATGGGAAAGAACAAAAGATGAAAACAAGAAGGATTTTCAAGAATCCCATGGTATAGTAATAGTATATAAAAATGTTATGATTGGAAAATGAATTTGATGAAGTTTTGAGATTAGAAGCTATCTATATAGATTTGAAAATGAATTTGATGAACTATACACATTCATTTTATTTTGCTCCACTTGCAAAATCATATTGATGAACTCTGAGTGTGATGTGTATTGATTGTTTTTATGAATATCGATGTTTAAGGATTATTTTCATCTTACTTTAAATTATCAATTTCGATCGTTTCTTTAATTTTGCGTTTAATTGCTTGATTGTATCACAATAATTAAGTTCTATTTATTATCTAATGTATTAGAAAAGAATTAAGTAGGGCATGATCTAATTCCCTAGAATTAGGGCAAGTATTTGCAGCTTAGACAGGGATATATCTAGTTGTCGTGTTCAACCAACTATCGTAAGAAAACATTAATTCCATAGAAATATAGGTGACAGTCTATTTTGATTAGGTGAGTAGTAGTTCGGAAGAATACCATGAATATTAGTAACTCGATTAATTAGCAATAATTTATAATTTGAATTAACAGGAAATAGTTTGAGAACTCGATAGAATTGGTGAATCAAACCAAAAAAAAAATATCAGTCTTAATTAATCATTAATCACCTATAGTAATAAGACGTTGACCCCTATGAAATGGGGTCAACGAATTAAATGGGAAAACCCTACCAAGGTTCTTGGTAGATGTATGTATTTAATGTCGGTGAAGATATATTTTGTGTGGTGCTGGCAAAATAACCCATATGTTGGTAACCCAATCATATTTTAATGGATTGGGTGAATGGTTTTTTTATATGGGTTTGGTTCATACCTCTATTCAACCCATAGAAATATGCCTATTTATAGTAAGTAAAATATGAGAAAATGTTTCCAAATAAACTTATTTTCTTCGATCAAAAGATCACAGCAAAGTTTAAAATATTTTGAATAGCAAGGAAAAATTATAGTCAAAAAGAAAATTATTTGACTCCGCCAAATAAATTATCGTCGGTTAAAATAGGACGGAGGGAGTAACAACATTCAACTACAATCAAAATGAGTACTTGTAGTTTCACTAGAATAACACAATTGCAATTGGACTTCTCACAGAGTGCCTGTTAGAAGTCCACTTCAAGAATCCCTCTATAACCCCAGGGTTTGAGCTGTTGGTTGTCTTGGAAAATGTCACTTGGTATGTCAATTTCTGATTCAGCATTGAGAAATTTAGTTTGGAGGGTTTAACTTTCATGACAACGCCTTTTGGTGAAGCTATTTCCACCTTGTAAGATGATTTGGCGTCACCAACGTTGGTCACAGTTCTGGTGTATGTTTGAGGAGTTGATCCAAGTCTGATGGAAAATGAAGGATAATTTAGTTGTGCTTCAGGGATACTTTTTACCTCCGAGCATTTCACCTTGCGTTGTAACAGGTAACCTACCTCTCGACTTGTGTATTTCAAACCACATAAATAAGGTACATAGTCCTCGAATGGTGTATCATAAATCAGTCCTGGATCATTTGCCCTCGATGGATTAACATGTCCTGCACCAATTGCAAAGATATCAGCAGGAATGAGCCTTTCGTCTAGTATTGGACTATTTGCAAGGTTTAATGTGTCAGCGGTTGTCATAATTGCAGACTTAATAGCAGCAGGAGACCAATCAGGATGTGCGCTCTTCAGCAGAGCTGCTACGCCACTAAGATGAGGGCAAGCCATTGAGGTGCCTGATATGATATTGAATGTGGATTTGGTGTTTTTGTTGTCATCCACGAAGGTAGGCCAAGCAGCAAGGATATTAACACCAGGACCGATTATGTCAGGTTTCAAGATGCCAGGACTAACTCTACTTGGTCCGCGAGAAGAAAATGAAGCAACTGCAGGAGCATTTTTATCCCCAATTATCGTTCCTTGGAATGTGATTGTAGCAACAGGGTTCGATGTTGAGTTCATATAGGCACGAATTTTCGTTCCATCTGCAGCTGAAACATCCATTGCTGGAAGAACATGAGCATCAGCTGATTTAGTGACTCTGTCATCTGGACTGTTGATGATAATCATGCCAACACCTCCAGCATCCTTTACAGCTTGTCCTTGATCAACCCCCGGAACGCCACCATCTGCCAAACATAATACTATCTTTCCTCTTACAGCAGTGTCATTGAGTGACCCTGGTTTGCAATAAGGGGTTTCAGATTGATCACTTATATTTTCTCCAGCATCAAATAGAGTGAAGAATGTTGAGTTGGAAATCTTTGGATGATAAGCAGATTCTCCTTCAAATTCCTCTCTATTTCCTAGCTTAACAGTAGCTTTCATCTTTCTATCAATAGTGCTGGCGCCTACAGTAAGAATCCACGGGGCTGTGTTTTCTACCGAGCCTCTGAATGGACCACTATTGCCTGCAGAGCAACTTACAAGAATACCTCTTTCTGTTGCACTATACGCCCCGAGAGCAATATTATCACTATGGAAAGGAAGCCTACTACGTTCACCAAGAGACAGAGAAAGAATATCTACGCCATCAGCTATAGCTGCATCCATAGCGGCTATGATATCAATTTCAGCACAACCATCAGAATTGCATACCTTATATATGGCTATATGGGCAAGAGGGGCAACACCAACCGCTGTACCATTAGCATTCCCAAATACATTAGCACCTTTCACAAAGGCTCCGGCAGCTGTGCCTGCTATGTGTGTACCATGTCCTGTATCGTCTATCGGGGAACCATTGCCAAGTTGGTAAGACCTCGCTCCAATAAGCTTGTTGTTATACTTGTTAGTGAAATTAGACTCACAAACTCCATTCCACTTAGCAGGCGGAGGAGGCATCCCAACATCGCTAAATGAAGGATGATCAGGAAAAATTCCATTGTCTATATCTCCGATGATCACACCTTTCCCATAGTTTGAATCCTTCCATACACCAATGTTCTGTTGCAAACCAAGAAAACTTGGAGTATGAGTAGTATGCAAGGACAAAATCCTCTGTTTCTGAGCAGAGACAAAGCCGCGTTTCTTCTCCATTTCCTTCACTTGTGCTGCAGTTAATCTTGCTGCAAAGCCTTTCATCACACTGTGATAGGAGTAGATCATGCTAGCAGCCTCTTCATTTCCACTTGAGCTAATTGTTGTAGTACTTTTAGGCAAAAAAGAAAGGTAATAGCTCTCTAAATCCGTTAACGATGATTGAGAAGAAATTTGGCTTTCAACATGGACTATATAAGTCTCGAAATCACTCTGAATACTAGGCCATGGGAAAGAGCAAAAGATGAAAATTAGAAAGATTTTCAAAAATCCCATGGCTGCAAATGAGCTAAAGAAAATGTATTTGATGAACTTTTGTATTTTGAAGCTACACTATTTATAAGTACTTTTACCTTGAACTTTCACTTCCATTTTTATTTTGCTCCTTTTGCAAAATCAATTTGGATCAACTCACAACTGTGAATTCACACTTACTGTGAATTTGGAGGTCCCTTATTAATTTTGACTAGTATCATTATTGTGAACAAGACTTACAATTTCACTACTAAAAACACGCGAATTTCTGATGAAAAATTCCTAGGAAAACCCATTTGGAATATAAGATTAACAGAATATCCATAATAAATCTTCCACGAACAAATTTCCCTCCTCCATCGGAGTTCTCATCGCGTATTTTTATGTTTGGACACCATGAAAATGTTGCTTATAGCAATGTTCAACTATATTATTAACTAAAAGATATTCAAATATCACCACCATTAGTCATCTTACGATATTTTTCCTTGAAGGAAAATATCATAACGTTATTAAATTTGGTGGTCCGTCTTCCCTTCCTATCGCAATGTAACATCAAATAAATTACTTTATCTTAAATTTAAGATCCATATTTTCATTTATTATTTGTTACCAACCAAATGTGACGCTCAAATCGGTATAGAATAGTCTACAACTTTTTATGTGGCTATAGTGGCAAATCAGTGGCTGTTGCTATCTTTTTTTTTTTAGAAATAGAAATCTAACAAAAATAAAGTTATATCATTTAAGTGTTCGAGAGAAAGAATGCGTAAAATAGATAATTAAGCCTTAATCTCAACTAAGTCGAGTTATGAGATTCGTCATGAATTAACAAATTTTATGCTGACTTGACAAATCCACCGCAATTCTCATCCTTTATCCAAACTTAAGATCAATAATGTGCACAAGCTCACACTTAGCAAACCTAAAATGAAAAGAAAATCAAGATCTAAAATAAATGTATAATTGGACATTGATGTTTGACGTATCAATGGATCTAATAAATAAATAGGGGAAACCCTACAAAGGTTATGGGTAGATGAATGTATTAAATTTCGATGGATATATACTTGATAACATGTTGCCCATCGGTCAATCCTACAGAGCCCACTATTTAATACTCCCTGTCATGTTTCGTTTATTGAAAGTCAATTTGACTAATTTTTTATGTTGAATCAGATTAAATTAATTAATATTTCAAAAAATTAAAATTATATACGAACGGATTAAATAACATATTTTGGACACCCTTAACACAACAAGCTGTTATAGCCAAAAGATTTTGTTGTGCAATTTTTGAACACCCTTCTTGAATTTCTGATTCCGCCATTTAAGTCATGAGGACCTCCGTTTATTTTGACAACAAAAATAGGGATCGTCTTTACTTAAATGACTTACGACCAAATTAATCACTTTTTGGAATGCAATAAGGACCAAATGGAACCAAAACTCCTACATTAAGGGCAATTTTGATCATTTTAGACCATGTTCGAGCCTTGAGTATGAAAAAGTCTTGATAGGGAGCCGTTTCAGTCCCTCTTGAATGAGTATTATGTGATGCGAATTCATGGTACAAAAATTATTTGATTCTCAATGTTTAAAGAAATACTACTAAACATTCATTGAGCCCAATTACAATCATATACTTGCCTGGAGAACTAAAAAATGTAACATAAAACATTTAATGAAAAGATACAGCAATCCACTATAATTAATTGTGACTACTTTCTGCACTTATTTTACACTTTAGATTGAAAGCATTTTAGTTTCATTCAGCAGACACTCTAACTGCAATTGGACTTCTTACAGAGTGCCTATTAGAATTCCACTTCAAGAATCCCTCAACATCACTGGTAGTTGAGATATTACTTGTCTTGGTAAATGTCACTTGGTAAGTCAACTTCTGGTTCAACATTGAAAAATTTAGCGCGGAGGGTTCAACTTTCACGACAACTCCTTTTGGTGAAACTATCTCCACCTTGTAAGATGATTTGGCATCACCAACATTGGTCACGGTTCTGGTATATGTCTGAGGAGTTGATCCAAGTCTGATGGAAAATGAAGGATAATTTAGTTGCTCTTCAGTGATACTTTTTACCTCCGAGCAATTCACCTTGCGTTGTAACACTTTACCTACCTCCCGATTTGTGTAGTTCAAACCACATAAATAAGGAACGTAGTCCTCGAATGGTGTATCATAAATTAGTCCTGGATCACTTGCTCTCGATGGATTAACATGTCCAGCACCAATTGCAAAGAGATCCGCAGAAATGAGCCTTTCGTCTAGTATTGGACTATTGGCGAGGTTTAATGTGTCAGCGGTTGTCATGATTGCAGACTTGATAGCTGCAGCAGACCAATCAGGATGTGCGCTCTTCAGCAGAGCTGCGACACCACTAAGGTGAGGGCAAGACATTGAGGTTCCAGATATAATATTGAATGTTGATTTTGTGTTTTTGTTGTCATCCACGGAGGTAGGCCAAGCAGCAAGGACATTAACACCAGGACCGATTATGTCAGGTTTTAAGATGCCAGGACTTGCTACGCTTGGTCCTCGTGAGGAAAATGAAGCAACTATAGGAGCATTTTTATCTCCAATTACAGTTCCGTGGAAGGTGATTAAAGCAACTGGATTTGAAGATGAGTTCATATAGGCAAGAATTTTCTTTCCATCAGCATTTGAAACATCCAATGCAGGAAGGACATGAGCTTCAGCTGATTTAGTCACACCCTCTTCCTGTTCATTGATGAGAATCATGCCAACACCTCCAGCATCCTTTACGGATTGTCCTTGATCAACCTTAAGAAGACTTCTACTTCGCAAACACAAGACTATCTTACCTTTGATAGCAGGGTCACTAAGTGAGCCTGGACTGCAAAAAGGCGCGCTAAATTGATCACTTTCATTCTTTCCAGCATCATATAGAGTGAAGAATGTTGAGTTGGAAGTCTTTGGATGATAAGCAGATTCACCTTCAAATTCCTCGCTATTTCCAAGCTTAACAGCAGCCTTCAGTTTTCTATCATGAGTACTGGCACCAACAGTGAGAATCCACGGGGCTTCATTAGCTACAGTGCCAACCGATGGACCGCTATTGCCTGCAGCGGCACTTACAAAAATCCCTCTTTCTGCTGCACTATACGTCCCGAGAGCAATACCATCATCATGGAAAGGTTTTGTACTTCCACCAAGGGAGATTGAAAGAATATCTACACCATCATCTATAGCTGCATCCATGGCAGCTAAAATATCGCTGTCAGAACAACCGCCATCAGAACTACATACCTTATATACCGCTATGTGGGCAAGAGGAGCAACACCAACAGCAGTACCATTAGCATTCCCAAATACATTAGCACCTTTCACAAAGGCTCCTGCAGCTGTGCCTGCTGTATGAGTACCATGTCCATTATCATCTATCGGGGAACCGCTGCCAAGTTGGTAAGACCTGGCTCCAATGAGCTTGTTGTTACACTTTGTGGTGAAATTGGACTCACAAACTCCTTTCCACTTAGCAGGCGGGGGAGGCATCCCAACATCACTAAATGAAGGATGATCAGGAAGAATTCCAGTGTCTAGAACTCCGATGATCACACCTTTTCCAAAATTGGAATCTTTCCACAAGCCCATGTTCTGTTGCAAACCAAGAAAGCTTGGAGTATGAGTAGTATGCAAGGACAAAATCCTCTGTTTCTGAGCAGAGACAAAGCCGTGTTTCTTCTCCATTTCCTTCACTTGTGCTGCAGTTAATCTTGCTGCAAAGCCTTTCATCACATTATGGTAGGAGTAGATCATGCTAGCAGCCTCTTCATCTCCACTCGAGCTAATTGCGTTAGTACTTTTAGGCAAAAAAGAAAGGTAATAGCTCTCTAAATCCGTTAACGATGATTGACTAGAAATTTGGTTTTCAGGTGATTCAACATGGACTATATAAGTCTCGAGATCACTCTGAATACTAGGCTTTAGGAAAGAGCAAAATATGAGGATAAGAAGAATTTTCAAGAATCCCATTGCTGCAATAGAGTAATTGGAAAATGAATTTGATGAATTTTTTAGATTTAGAGCTATCTATATATATATATATAGTGCTTTAATGCTGAACCATTCACATTTATTTTTATTTTACTCAACTTGCAAAAAATCAATTTGATGAACTCGCAGTTGAACGCTTATTAATTGTTTATGAAAAGCAGGCCCTTTGTTTGGTTAGTATCATTATTATGGAATACCAACATATGTCAGGAAGAAAAAAAAGCCACTAGTATGAAAGAGACTAGTAACTCTAGTCAAACTATATCGTATAAATTCATGACAACAAAACTAAAGTTGGTATAATTTCAAACAAGTTCTGAATTGTGTTAAGGGATCAATTTGACAAATATGAATATTGAGTATGTAATTGTCAGATGCCCAAAGTTCCCAATTTTGTCAAGTGGCACAAGGGTTGGTGGGGGTGGGGGTCGGGGCGAAGGGGGGCGTCAGGCGTGGAGGGCGAGGGGCCTAGGCAGAGGGTGAGGATGAGCAATGAGGTGTGTTAGAGGGTGGCGACTGGTCAGGAGGCAAATTATTACACTACTAGAAAATCCCTAAATTTTGTGAAGCATAAATATAAATAGTTTCACTAGGTACATTTTATGAACAACAGAATGAAATAACATATCATAGTTTTAAACTTTAAATTAGGTGTTATATGATTATAAACTTTTGAAACTCGTAAAATCGCTACTAAAAAATCGCTAATTTTCAAGAGCAATTTCCGACGGATCATAAAATCGTGGCGACTACCCTGTTCAATAATCATCGACAACATGAGTTATCAAAACAATTACTCTTTACATTCACTTTTACTTGTCATGTTTCGCTTCTAGAGAGTCAAATTGTATGGATTTTGACCAACATTTTAAAGATATAATCTTTTGTCATATTATATGAGTAGAATTAAAACTTATAATATCTTTTATATAGTTTTTAAATATCTAAATTTAAAATATTAAATTGATCTAATTCAATTTAACTTCAAAAATTAGTCAAATTGACTCTGATAAATCAAAATGTGACAAGTAAAATGAACACAGAGACTATATTAGTAGAGTAAAAAAATGAAATTAATGACTAACATGGGTTGTGGCAGTGATGGAGCCAGGATGTTCGCTAAGGGGGTTCGAAGTATAAAGTAATAAATACGTGAGATGGGAAAGAAAAATATTAATCTTAACTCGCTAAATTTAACTTGTCTTGTTATGCCGCGTTTAGGTTCTTCTTACTTTTTACCTTGCTCCATCGAGTTTTTTTTTTCAAATTCTTGTGCTCTTTTTTTCTTTAAGTTTTGTCATGTTTTATTTTATTTTGATATTTTTTATTTAAAAAAATTCTACTATGTTACTATAAAAATCACCAAGATTTTTTAAAGGGGTAAAAATTGACATATTTAGAAAATAAATAAATGACATCATCTTTTTTT